AAGAAAAAAAAAAAGCTAAAAATGTAGAGTGGTCTACTTTAGACGGGGCAAGGCAGCACTGGTATCCTACATAAAAACCTTTTTGAAGTGCGCTTTCTTCACAATTATTTATTTTAGAATAAACTGGTATTTAGGTATACGCCCACCCCACTTTAAATAACAGTCCTCCTTTCCTTTTTCGTATTCGTCCATTCCCCATGACGACCATTCGGACGGTGGCGACACGCTCAGGAGCTCAAGCCTGTAGCTGGAGATCGCGAACTTTCTGGAAAATGCTTATTAACAGTAAATTAAATTTCTTTTAGCCCTGGTGTGCAAATAATCCATTCCGGAGGGCGACCATTCGGACGGTGGAGACACGCTCAGGCGCTCAAGCCGCTAGCTGGAGATCGCGAACTTTCTAGAAAATTCTTATTTATAGTACATTAAGCCTTCTCTCGCCCTATTCCACGAATCAGCAGAGGTGGCTATCTCAAGAACGCGGGAACGTGCCCATTCTAGCAAGTGATAGGGGAAAGCTCGCTAGATGGCTTGCCTCCAGCCGTTCAATCTATTACAAAGGTGGAGGCCCAAGTGTGTCGCTCCCCAGCCCTACCGCTGCTCGCCCTTCCTATCCCGCAAAGCCATATTCCAACAACAGCCTATAACTGAAATCTCAAAACGCCAAAGCCAAACGGTGGAAATACCTTAAAAGAATATTTACTCATCGACACAACCAACTGGAAGGCAGATGAACGGAATCAAAATCCCTTACTCTGTTGTGGGTCGATAGTTTGTTTTTGAAGTCCACGAGATTAAGAGCTCGGAAGCGCAGGAGAACCTCGTCTGGCGCCGACGGCTCCTTTGCGAGTGCGAAGTCCTTTGAACGTATACTTCCGCTGCGCTCGGCAAAGTAGCTACACAACGTTACCCGCGCACGCGCCGTAGCTGCAATTAGGTCCTACACGTCTGCAGAAAAGCAACGTGGGGGCGGGATCGTACATTTACCGACTTCCCTAATCCTAAAAGCAAGCGAGTGGAAGACTGTCTCACCCTTCTTCTTGCGCGCCAGCGATTTCAGTAGACGTTCCCAGTTTCCACTCCAGGCCTCTGTGTTCGCCAAGTTCCCCGGGAACCAGGTCCCACGGAAAGCAGCAGGTGCCGATTCACATCATTCCCTGCACAGTACGCAGCTGCGGGTGTTTAGGTTACCTGTTTTTTAAGTTACTCATACTTCTGAAATAAAAACAAAGTCTAACAATACACGCAAACGGAATCGTGAAAGCGAAAGCTTCGATTGATACATGAGAGAACAAACGTGGGAGTCGTGGGGAAGAGCGCTGGGAGCGGCCAACTGCAGCACGCGGCACATACGCACACTATCTGGCTCGCGGAGTAAAAGAGTTCGGCGATGTACGGGAACCCTCAACTGAGTAGTAGGGGAAGAACCGTATTTTAAGTGCTTTTTAACTTTTCCCGAGAGCTGATATGTCAAAAATTATAGGCTGGGATGGCGGCGGAGCGGTTACGTGATTCGATAGAGATTTTACGGTAACCGCGACGTGAACGAACGGAGGCGCGTGGCGGACAAAGCGTATAGAGCAGCAAAGTTTGCTGTCTCTGGTAACCACCGCCACATTCGCCTCTTGCTTTTTCTCATGCACGTGCTTTTCGAGCTGGCAGGGTAGAAAAGTTGGTTGTTAGAGATAGTTGGGGAGTTGAGTGCTCCACCCCTTTAGGCAAGTGACTGCGGCCATGCCTGACCTTGTGGGCCCTAGCGGCTCCCCGAAACTCCGAAGAGTTCAGGAGGGTCCTGCCTGGTTGCCACCTTGTTTCGGAGCCCTGGCGTAACATCTCTGCAGCGCGCAGAACTGCCGCCCTGTTCAAAAAACGTAGTTCTGCCTCACCTTGCTGCCAGGAACTTAAGTAAAGTCGACCGCTACACGCGGCGATCCTAACGCGTCTTCCTTGGCACTTTCGTGCACTGCCTTCTGCTCTCCTTAGCAGCTTCTACTTCTCCTAGTAGGTTTAGTTCTGCAGACAGCCATACGCAGTCACGCAAGCCCCACCGGTCAGCTCCTGGTTTGAGCTGTTCCAGCTTTTCCTTACGCTCCGGAGCCTACACCTTCGAGTCTCGGCTTCCTGAGTTTCCCTGGTGGTCATCTATTCTGGGTTACACCCGTTTTTCTTCTCCGGGTCCAAATGTGGGGTTCCCTTAACACCTATACTCCCGTCTCTGCAGACGCTGAGTTGACTTCGTACTGCAGTCCCAGACAAGCGTCTTAGGTTACCTAGAGACCCTCTCCATCAGAGCCTGAGTCGAGGGAATGGGGTCAACAATGGCTGGCTCTCCCAGCCGCGCGCCAAGACTCC